TATTTAAAGTTTTACTTGCATAGTAAATTACATAGGTTTCTTATCTTTTATTTGTCCCAAAACAGCACTTACGGCATAATCACTAGCATCACACATTATTTCAAAAGGTAATGACCAATTAGGAGGTTGAATGACAGGAGCACAAGTAAGCAAGTTTTTAAGTTTAACAAAGGCTTTTTCACAATGTTCAGTCCATTCAAAAATATTATCCTTTGTTAGAAGGTTACTTAAGGGGTTAGATATTACGCTAAAATCTTTGATGAACCTTCTGTAAAAATCAGCATGTCCTAGGAATGATCTAACATCTTTAATAGATTTTGGTGTTGGCAAGTTCACAATTAACTCGATTTTAGATTTCTCAACCTCAATTCCTTTTAATGAAACAATATGACCAAGTACAATACCGTTTGTTACCATAAAGTGATATTTTTCCCAATTCAGTACAAGATTTTTCTCTTCACACTTGCTCAAAACCTTTTCTAAGTTAGTCAAACAATCATTAAATGAATCGCTAAAAATAGAAAAATCATCCATAAAAATCTTAAGAAAATGTTCAACCATTTCACTAAATATACTAAGCATGCATCTTTGAAACGTGGTTGGTGCATTACATAATCCAAAAGGCATCCGTCGATATGCAAAAGTACCAAACATACATGTGAAAGTAGTCTTCTCTTGATCTTCCAATACAATTTCAATTTGGTTGTATCCTGAATAGCCATCTAGGAAACAATAAAATTCATGACCTGTAAGTCTTTCTAGGATTTGATCCATGAAAGGTAAAGGAAAATGATCTTTTATAGTCATTGAATTAAGTTTCCTATAGTCAATGCATATGCGCTAACCAGTAACAGTCCTAGTGGAAATTAACTCATTGTTCTCATTTGTTATCACAGTGACTCTAGATTTTTTAGGTATAACTTGGGTAGAACTTACCCATTTGCAATCAGAAATAGGATAAATGATTTCATTATCTAGAAGCTTAATGACTTCATTTTTCACTACTTCTTTCATATTAGGATTGAGCCTTCGTTGCATTTCCCTAGAAGGTTTAGCATTTTCCTCCAAATAAATTCTATGTGTACAAATCAAAGGAATAATTCCTTTTATGTCAGCTATGATCCATCCTAATGCATTTTTGTGCATTTTCAGAGTTTGTAATAACTGACCTTCTTGATGTGCATTAAGTTTGGAAGAGATTATTACTAGAAAAGTATCATTTTCTCCCAAAAATGAGTATTTGAAATTAAATGGCAACGGCTTCAAATCAGGTTTGGATGCTTGAACACTTGAAGGTATGGACTTAATTGATCGTGGTGGCAATTTCTTAATTTGTGGTCTCCAATTCCTTGCCTTTGATTCTTCCTGAAAATAAACCATTTGCAAATCATCAGATTCATCAATCTCAATTTCACTGGAAGTGGTTTGAAATTGATCATGAATTAATTTTTCAGTAAAGTCCACTTCTTGTAAATTATTATCATCTCCAGGTTGCTTGCAAATATTAAAAATATTCATCTCTAATGTCATGTTTCGAAATGATAGCTTCATCAGTCCATTCCTACAATTAATCAATGCATTAGAAGTTGCAAGAAACGGATGTCCTAAAATAACAGGAAATGAATTACATATTTCAACAGGTTGTGTGTCCAAGACAATAAAATCCACATGATAAATGAATTTATCGACTTGTACTAGCACATTTTCAATTATTCCTCTAAGCACTTTTACAGATCTATCGGTAAGTAAAAGAGTTATAAAAGTTGGTTTTAACTCACCTAGATTGAGACTTTGAAAAACTGAATATGAAAGTAAATTCACACTGGCTCCAAGATCAAGTAAGGCCTTTTCAATTTTATGTTTTTCAATAAAGCAAGAAATTGTAGGACAACCAGGGTCTTTATATTTCAAAGCATTATTGTTCTGAAGAATGACATTTACTTGTTCGGCTAAAAAGGCTTTCTTTTTCACATTCAGTTTCCTCTTCACAGTGCATAGATCTTTCAAAAATTTAGCATAGGAAGGAACCTGTTTAATAGCATCTAACAAAGGTATATTGATTCTTACTTGTTTGAAAGTTTTAAAAATTTTAGAGTTGTGATTGACTTTTCTTTGTTTGGTCATGGCTTGAGGAAATGGAAGTGCTGGTGGGGAATCAGTTTTTTCTTTGCAAATTTCAGATTCAACCCCTTTTTTACGCTTAGATATTGACTCATCATCTTTCTCACAAGGTTCAAGAGTGGGTTTTTCAATAACCTTACCACTGCGAAGAGTAGTGACTGATTTAACTTGATCCGTATATTGGCTTTTAAAACTACTTGCATTTGCATTGTATTGCCCCTTGGGATTTTGTTGTAGTTGAGATGGAAACTTACCTTTGTCTTAGAAACTGATAGCAGATGTCAATTTTGCGAGTGTATCTTTAAAATCTGTCATGTTTTGAGCAAGTTGAGTATTGATTGTCTCTTGCTTTTCAATGAATGCATGCAATGTTTCCTCAAGATTTCTTCTAGGAGGTGGAGCATAAAGAGGTGCATATCCATGAGAATTTTGGAAATTATGGTGTGCTTGAAACGGTGGTTGTGAAGTTTATACATTGTTATTATCACTCTTCCAACTGAAATTTAGGTGATTTCTCCAACCAGGGTTGTATGTGTGTAAATATGGGTTGTGGTTAGCCATTTGGAAACTATTTAAAGCATGAGTTTGTTCATTGAGACATTCCTTAAAAGAAGGCAAGGTTGGACAGTTATTGGTTGAATGTTCATTTGTTTCACATATTTAACACACAATGTTTTCAAAAGATTTTAATTGACCACTCTTTTTCATTTCTAGTGCCTAGACTTTTCTAGCTAAAGATTCAAACTTAGCTTGGAGGTCATGATCTTCCCTAAGGTTGTACATACCTTCATTAGATGTATGAGGTTGAGTTTTACTTGGTGCCTCATAAGTACCCGCGGTGTTCCAATTTTGAACATTTTCAGCTAACAAATCTAAGTACTCCATTGCTTCATCAAGGTCTTTATCTTCAAAAGTTTCATTGCACATCAATTCAACCATTTGCCTATCTCTAGGTGTTAACCCTTCATAAAAATGTGAAACCAATCTCCATGTTTCAAAACCATGATGAGGGCAAGTATTAAGCAAGTCTCGATACCTATCCCAATATTGGTAAAATGTTTCTCCTAGTTTTTAAGAGAAAGTGATGATTTGTCTTTTGAAAGAGTTTGTTCTGTGAGATGGGAAAAACTTCTTTAAAAACTATTATTGCATTTCATCCCAAGCACGAATGGATCCTGGTCTCAAATTTTATAGCCATGTTTTCTTTATCTTTTAATAAAAAAAGAAAAAGCTTTAATCTGATAGTGTTCACGCTACAATTTGAATCATTATACGTGTTGCAGACCTCCTCAAATTCCCTTAAATGCAAGTATGGATTTTTCAATTCTAAGCTATGAAAAGAAGGTAAAAGTTGAATAATATCTGGTTTAAAATTAAAATGAGATGCATCGGGAGGAAAAACTATGCATAATGGTGCACTTGTTCTTGTGGGATTCATGTGGTCTCTAAGTGTTCTAACATGGTTATTCTCATTATTCTCATTATGAAGTGATTGATTATCTTTTTCGGTCATATTTTCTGAAAATGATGAGTATACCCTATAAAGTCTACCACTTGATGTACGTGACCACACTCTCATGCATGTGTAGGAATAGAATAAAAAGAAGAAGAAACAAGAGAAAAGAAACAAAGTTATATACAAGAAAAGTGAAAAGAGAAAATAAAATAAATATTATAATTTGTACAAGAACTTACTTTCTCGGCAACGGCGCCAAAAACTTGACACGACTAAAAGATTGATGTCTTCTCCCAAGTGCAGGAATATCGAAGTAATAAATAACCCGGCAAGACCGGGGTCGAATCACAGGGAGGTTAATTGTACAAATTATAAATAACAATAATACAACAACAATAATAATAACAATAACAACAACAACAACAATAATAGTAATAACAATAATAATAATAACAACAACAATTATAATAATAACAATAATAATAATAATAATAATAATAATAATAAAGAAAAAGAAGGAGAAGAAGAAGAAGAAGAAGATGAGAACTTTGAGATGAAATATTAATGTAAGGATTAAACAATGATAATAACAAATATCAAGGTTAGAGGATCCACTAATGATATGTCAAATAAGTATAGTATAAACTCTTATTATTCAATTGGAAACCACACATAAAAAAGGTTCCAATTTGATTATAGATTGTTAACATGATTACATTAGTCATCTTATTCGATTAATGCTAATACTTGTAAATCTCGTCAAGCATTCATGATTATAACTTATGTTAACAACAAATCAAGTTCTTTTCATAGCTCAGGTGTCGGTTATACTAGACAGTATAAACTATGAAAGTGTCAAGCATTTGTTGTACCAAGTGTTATACAACATAAATCAAGATTAGTCATTTAACAAGCAAAGTATTAAAGAGTGAACAAGATAACAAATACAAAACATGTTAGTATCAAACATTAAAGTCCATATTAATATACACTATACTTATTCTTACACCATTAGTGTAACCTTTTCACCTTGACATAATAAACGTAACTAGACATAATGAAAGAAAGAAAAATAAATAAACAAAATAAGAACATAAATAAGATAAAAGTTAACTAAGTAAATGAAAGGAAATGAAAGGCATAAACTTGATATTAATGAAACCAAAGCATAAACATTACAAAAAAATGCAAAGAGAGAAAGCAAGAGCATGATCTTGATCTAGAAACCAAGATGCCTAAATGCATGGCAAATGCCTCCTTTTATAGGCCAAAATTAGAAACTATTGATTTGATGACTAATTGATGAGTGGGTGACTAACTCTTGACTTGGTGACAAGCCTTATCTTCTCTTGTCTGCCCAAAACGTCATTGATAACGTCAAAATTAGAGCCACTTGAAAACATGAAAGTCGTAGGAAATTATCTCAGCTTTCTTGTGTAAACAATTTAGTCATTTGGACTTTTAGAACTCTAGATATGGGCCAAACACTGAACAGTGCTTGGGCTGGAAGACAGATTCGGACTTCTTTATTGTTGCTACAATTTGGACTTGAAAATGACCTTTTCAAATCTTGAGCTCCATATGAAAGTTGTAGGCCTATGTCTTACCTTTCCATCCATATAAAGTAGACCTAAATCTAAGATCTACAGCTCAAGATATGACCCAATTACAGAACAGTGTTCCAGTTTGGATTGCACCGACATCTCTTTTCTAAGTTTGGCCATCTCTTTGTCCTTTCAATTTCAGTTCTTAAATTCATCAATCAATCATTTCATTTATATGATAGGCCTGCATTTAAAATGAACATTTACCATAAATTAAAGGTACCTTATATTATTAGATACGTTATTATAAAACATGCTTTAGTTAAGGAGTTATTGATATTTCGAGTGCAAAATGATGATATAAAACCTTGATAAAAATACACTTTTAAGTACTAATCAAATATCATAACTTTTGATCCAATTGTTGGATCATATAAAAAGTTTTGCAAAATTCTTTAGGGTTGTTTTCCTTACAGTAGCCACCACAACTATATGCAAACCTGTAGATATTTAGATATCAAAAATCTCTTCCAGACCCCTAGTTTTGGCATTTTTGTTATTTTTCATGTCTTTTTCAGGTTTCTTGCTTTATTTTGGATTTTATGCTTCTTTTCTTTGTATCTCTAGATTTTGTTATTTCCTAGTTTAGCTAAGTTTTCTAGCTTGGTTAAGGTTTTGTAAACCTTTTAAAGAAACAATCTTTGTTGTTATTATTTTAGAGAGAATAAACCTGTGAGAGAGAATAAACCTGTGAATTTGGAGTTCATATTTACAACTCTTTTTGCTCATCAAAATTCAATGTTTTTTATTTGTTGTTATCTTTAGCCTCTATTTGCCTTAAGATTGCACCTAAAGGAAAAAGTGTGAGGAAGTAAAGTGATCCAGGAACATTCTAAGTAAAACAGTTACTCTAAAAAACCGTTTAAGCTTCGAACTTGTCAATCAACGTAATGGCTACTCCTCGCTTAAAGATGGTGAAAAAACTCTCAATTTTTTTTATTTTTTTTAAAGATTGATATTCTAGATAGTTCAACTATCTTTGTTCCATATTTAAACTTTTTTGTGTATACAAAGAAAAAGAACAATCGAAATGTACTCATTAAAGCATGAAAATATAACCTATAACATTAAAACCAATAAAGTTTTTTAGGCTAAGAATAATGATGTTATCTTTTTATGGATTTTTTATTAAAAATAGCATAGTTTGATAAAAGTTTTTGGAAAATAATATATGTTAAAAAAGTATTTGAAAAATAGTAGAGTTTGAACACAATTGCATTTCAGAATATCAATTTTATACACAATCGCTATATATTTGGAATAGCGGTTGTGTCTTAGAATTCTTTTTCTACATAATTGCTATTTGAAATAGCAGTTGTGTAGTGAATATTTCAAAATATGTTTCTTTTGCAAATTAATTAACTTCAACAAAAGTCAACCAAATATTTTATAAAGATTCAATAGCCAATATATAGGACTGAAGATCCAATGGCGAAGAAAGAAAGAGAAGATAAGGTGATGTGCAAGGAGAGAGAAATGAGGGCAACTAAAAAAGAAAAGAAAAAATGGGTCATCAGGGACATATTGGGAATTTATTTTCAATATATTTGGTATCGTTAGAAAGATATTGACGAAACTAATTCTAATTACACATTGACAGAACACCAAAAGAGGTTGTCATTAACCCTAAATTAACCTCAAACAAAACCCCTAACAAATTACAATTTTTTTGTGATTTTTAAGGTATGGTTAGAATCATCTAGTTGAGATATTTTTAAAGGTACTAAGTGTGTTAAAAACAGAACTTTGGTGTGTTCTCAGTGACCTATATTTCTTGATAATAGAATCTTAAATCTTATTTTTTGGTTATTAGATCTTCATAAAATTTTGGGTTAGCTTTTTTATACAAGTTAATTGAATTGAGAGAAATATGGTTTCTAGAACAACTGTTATTCCTAATAGTGGTTATGTTCAGCCGCCATTTATCAACCATGAATATGTTCAAACTATGTTACTCTCTTAATACTTTCCTATAACTTTTACAAAATTTTGTTCGAATTCTAAAATACCATATTCTTACACAGTCAAACAAAAATACATGAAATGATTGTGAAAATTCTAATTGTCGATGAAAGAGCGTATGGAGGG